CATATTGTTCGTCTCCAGTATGTACATATAAGTGTATTCGTCACCTTCGTGTCACATCATCTACGTAGGTCTGTACAAAATAATATATAAAAATTCTATTGATATATCCTGTAGAGAAGAAGGACAAACCGAGCGTATCCTGCTGTCGTCCAGCATGGTGGAAGTCCTGTTCGTACATAAGCGGGTACACGAGAACACCGAAAAGGTTGTGCTGCCCGTAAAGCAACTGATAAAAACCACTTTTCGCCGTCGCCCCGGCGCCTCAGGTGTTGTTTATGGAGCTGCCCGGGTCCTATTAACTGGTAACCCCGGAACGGCGGGTGATGGGTGACGTTAATAGGGCAGAGGTAGGGCGCGAACGTTGCCATTTCTAGGCAAGTCCTTGGATAACCGCTTTTTATCTCTGGTGTTTTCCAGTTTTGGTTCTGATATTATTATATAAGCTATGATCCGTGTTTAAAACAAGCTTTGCCCTTGTTACTTGTTGTTATAAAAAATGGCACACTAGTTATTATGGGGTTGTCTATAATCTATATGATTATTGTGATTATTATTTTCTATATAAGAGTGCGTAGCCCAGAACAGCTGATGGTCGTAAAAATGAACAGGCCTTGTCGTTTTTTTATTGCGAACTATTTAAAATACGTTTTTTTTTCTAGTGGAAATGCGTCTGCTACAAAACAGCTGTCGGCATAAAAATCAACAGGTGGCGAGGTTTTTTATGTTATATTCAAAATAATGAATAATTTTGACGCTAATTCAGTTTTCGGACGTTTGTTAAGGCTACACAACACACGCTATTACTTCAAAAGTAAACACTAGTATACCTACCTTATTTATAATTCATCGTAATGGCTTCATTTGTTGTCATAATCTTAAAAAATGGTCGATTAATTCCAAGCTGTACACATATAGTTCATCTGGAAAAGTCCGGTCTACAAATTTTCAATCAACTGGTTGTTGTAAACTCCTTACGGCCCCTTTCTTTTATTTCTTTGCCCCCGCTTAGAATTTGTTTCCTTTCTGATCTCTTCTGTTTTTTAAAACATACACAATATTTCAGGAACGATAGAATATTGTTGAATTTTAACCTCATTAAAAAGCTTTGAGATGTTCAACCTTTTAACCTTACTGAGGAGTTTTGAGAGGTTAAAAACTGGATTCTAACGTTAATGGACAAACTTTGATAAGCTCAAAAACACAGAATTTAACCGCAGTAACAAACTCGGAGAGGTTAAAAGTACTGAAATTAACATCATTGGCTAGCATTGAAAGAGTGAAAATACTCAATGTTTAGATTAGTGGCAAATAAAGGACATCATGAAATGATGCTCTGAAAAGTGTTGATAAATTTTTCAATTAAAGTTACTGTCACGATAAGATCAATAAGGGTATACCGGTTCCAAGTTGTGAACGGTTTATCCAATTAAAGTTACTGTCACGATAAGATCAATAAGGGTATACCGGTTCCAAGTTGTGAACGGTTTATCCAATTAAAGTTACTGTCACGATAAGATCAATAAGGGTATACCGGTTCCAAGTTGTGAACGGTTTATCCAATTAAAGTTACTGTCACGATAAGATCCAGTAAGGGTACACCTGTTCCAAGTTGTGAACGGTTTATCCATTATGAGAGGGCCCGGCTGTGCTTCAGCCTTCAGGTATTCCCGATACAGCCGATTCCTGTAAACCTAAAATAGTGAATATGATAGCCCGCACGTAATTAGAATGTTACATTTAATTATACTTATGATAGATTGTAGCACTTTCAATACATTCGAAATTGGAAGACACATTCGTATCATACACAACTTCAAAAAACAAAAAAAAAGATATATCTTATAGAATATCAATGTACATACCAAGTTTGATCAAAATTTGTCATCATGGCTCTTGAGCGAAAACGGATACATATAGACTAATCGGAGTGAATACATGATCTTTGGTTATTCTTTAAACCACAAATACACAATTATATATGCATAATTCTTTCTTTTGTTTTTTAACCACAGATACACAAGTTGGTGTGAATACATGATATTTGGTTATTCTTTAAACCACAAATACACAATTATATATGCATAATTCTTTCTTTTGTTTTTTAACCACAGATACACAAGTTGGAGTGAATACATGATATTTGGTTATTCTATAGATCACAGATACACAAGTCAGAGTGAATACATGGTATTTGGTTATTCTCTAAAAATCACAGATACACAAGTCAGAGTGAATACATGATATTTGGTTATTCTCTAAATCACAGATACACAAGTCAGAGTGAAAACATGATATTTGGTTATTCTCTAAACCACAGATACACAAATCGGAGTGAATACATGATATTTGGTTATTCTCTAAACCACAGATACACAAGTCGGAGTGAATACATGATATTTGGTTATTCTCTAAATCACAGATACACAAGTCAGAGTGAACGTATAATTTCTAGTTTTCTGTAAACAACAGACATACAAGTGGAAGTAAATGCACAGTGTTTGGCTATTCCGTGAGGGTTTCAAGGACAAGCACGTAGTGAACTCATTATATCTGATTATTCGTTACAGGTATCATTAGCATTAGGAAAACTGGATTATGTGCGTCAACGCTCCTTATACTTTACTACTATCAACGATAAGTAAACGGTCAAAGTGGATTAGATGCTTGTTCTTTACGAGTAGAAAAAAACATTATTAAATTGAACCATTTCTATAAAGCGACTCCTGTGGTGATAAATGGTAGCGAGTAGATATCGGCAGAGACATCGCGTTAGTTCTGTAACTTCTGTTTTTATTAAATAGGCTTGTTGAGAACACAAGTGGATCTATTTCAGCACAAGAGCTTGCGCACTGATGATATTTATATTTATGTTATTGATTAGTAGAAACGTCACTTGAAACTTTACCTAAATGCTGTTGTATAGAAACGTATTTTATGACTATTTAAAAATAAAATAGTTTTGTCTCATAAGAGGGCGTCAGAAGGTAAAACAGAACACCATTTGCAGTTATATCTTAATTAAATATTTAGTGCGGTGTTTCTTGCCTGATGACAGGGTTGTAAACAAAATTTCGCAAATGTAGTCTTCAATTATATTTACTGTAGAAATTATAATACCGAGATTAACAAATTTTCATAACAGTACTGATTAAACCACGCAAAATTAATAGATCGAGTCGCTAGATGTCGCGTCTATCAACAATATGATGGTAGATGTCAGCCTTTACTGCTCCATAGAAGACCAAATACGCATATTTTCAAAAATAACATTTGAAATTTGTTTTTACCGCAATTTTGTTTTCGGATGAAGAAATTTGTTCGAAAACAAAATGTTCAAAAATGATAAAGCTTATTTACATATTAATATGTATAGAAGTAAATTTAGGGCTCGAATGTGATTCTTTCTTACGAAAGTTCCACTAAAGTATCTGCTAAATGTGTTTGTTTAAGAATGTTTCCATAAGTACACACAAATGCATCAGCAAATAGCCATCCCAAATCTTTAACTGATAGACTAGAGATAAGGTAATTAGTCAACAACAACACCCAGTACCAACTCTTGGAAACTCTTGTCTCACCATATAGTTTACTTTCACATTTATCTTTTAGAGATAAGTTTATGGGTTTGTAACGCTAAATTCCAGTGTTCAATATCCCGCAGTACTTGTATACATTGTATATATTTAACTTGAAAACAAATAACCAACCTCTTTTTTATCCCCTCCCCTCCCTAATCCAAAATGCATAGCACGTTGTTGCGGTAAACCATAAACACTCGGATTCACAATCCGGTAACATTAACCATTAGATCACACCCGGCCCTCTTTTAATAAAAAAAAGTATTTGAAACTCTCGTAAGAATGAGTCGGTAACAACGGTGGAAAGAAAAAAAGGTTGCATTTTTTTTATTAATAAAATACTGTCAAATTGTAAACGCCTGTGGTGTAGTTTTCTGATAAAAAAATCTTTAATTGTTTCATGTATGTCGTTGCTTATTTTTATCCTAACATAAAGAGAACAACATAACGGCCAAAACTGACATATAAGTTTTTTTCTGAGAAATGTGGGATTATAAGCCGTTGTCTATTTCCATCTGAACAACAAACTGTTGGTGAAAAAATTCATACGACTGCCTTCGTTATGAGATATGAATGTTAAATAGAATAGTTTTGCCTCTTCTAACATAGCAGAAAATTAGGCATAGACTTTGAAAATATTCTGACTTACTTCGAGGAATACAGTTTCATTGGTTCTGTGTTCATCATCTCTATCCTATCAACAAGCCGAATTGGCTCATATGGACCTCAACAAACTGTCTTATTATATCGTCTTCATTTAGTTGCATGGTTAGCAACTGGTGCGGGTGTGTAGCTTCAAAATAGTAAAATCTAAGTTATACAGTTCTGTAGAGTAGTAGTTTTATTAATGTTGAAAAGGTCACTAACTAAACTAAAAATTAAAAAAAAATCTATGTAGGTTTTATTATTTTTAGTTAGTTGCAAAGTCGAATTTCTTATCCTTAGTTTAGGGAACTGAAATTTTCAACCTGAAGGAACCTACCTATGTGCACATAAGTTATAAGGTTAGTGACTCTTGAAAGTCAGCTATAGCCATCCCCAAATCTGATCTACTGACCAGATGGAAGGCAGTCAGCAGCTTTATCCGACTCTTTGAACTTTGAACAGAATAACAATCGTCACAGCTAGAAGTGCGGATTGTGTTCAACGGCATCATCTTTCGAACCTCCGACCCTACGATACACAGCCCGACACGCTAACCATTAGCAATGCCCGATGGTTAGCGTTATAGGAAAATTGCTATGAAAATAAAAATGCTATCATTTTCTGATTCAAAACTACTTTGTCATGAAATAGAATTAACACTTCAGGCAGAATCAACATGTATTATGATCCTATAACTTTATTAATATATAAAACTGAAAATAAATGTTTTAATTTTCAACCCAGTAATATAAGATTTTTTTCTTTTACAATTTACAGGGTACTCAGTCCGCTCTAACCAAGAAGTTCTTTAGGGTTTGAGAAATGACAGTACCAAGCCTAACAAATCGACATTTTACGTCCAAACAGGTGACTTCCCAACATACATAGTCAAACCCGTCTTATTGGTGAACGGATTCATCTCTCGTGCTTTTCCTTTTGAGGTAAGACCGTTGATTTAAATTTCGGTTCATCAACATTTTATTCGTTTTGTACACACACACACGTTTAAGAATTTAAGAAATACTTATATATCAACAATAACTGTAACGACACAAAGGAAATCTTCATTACCTAGTGAGCTTTATCTACACCATATACTAGTATATCAGAACATTGGAATGGGAACGTTCATTTATATTCTTAAACTTAAACTTAAATTTACGAATACGATTTGTCTTGACCAACGGCACCAACTACAACATCTGTCACGTAGGCGCATTGAAAAAGTTAAATATGTACATAGTTTTATATGTATGTATATGTTTATATTGTACATATATCAATACAGTTCAATGCATATATAATTGCCTACAAGAAAGTTGTAGCCATCACGAAATAACCATCCTATTCAGTATTTTAATAACGATATAATTCAGAAAGAAAACTGTTATAAAATATGTCACCGATCTAGCTGTTAAGATTTTTTTGAATGCCAAAATTCAAATTTATTTGGAGAATGTTACAAATGTATAGACATTTGCATATTTTTTAGATAATATGTGTCTTCCGGTTACTTCGAATATAGGCCGACTCATTATGACTCACTGAAGTAAAGGAAATAACGCCATGAATACATCATTCAACTAGAATTCATTTCTTTAATCATATGCATAACTCTTTCGAAACATGTCGTAGACAGGCTAATTGGTTTATGTTTTTCATTTTGTATGTACTAAATAAATTTCTAAACCTGAGCTTAAAATTTCTAAACTGATCACAAGACTTGGTAAGCTGTGAATCTTTGAGATAAATTGATTGTCAGGCTGCGACCTGAGACAGTGCCATTGCTCTGATGGAATATCACTGTCTGCATTGATTTCATTACGAAAATATCCAGTTGTAGAATGATAGATTGGCGAAAACGTGTTCTCAGCTTAAGCTGTCATATTTGATAAATTACTTGTTTAACAAAACGTAGTACAGTGTGGATAAAGACCAGAATTCCTGCAAACTCATTATATTCTTCTTTGACCTTCTTTTGCGTAGACATAATGCAGGAAAATAATGTTTTCTTAAAAAGAACAAAACAAAGAAGAAACATTATTAACACATTCGTCCCCTTTTCAGGTGCTGTCAGGCTGTAGGTTTTAAAAAATTGTTTTTAGCTTATCAAAAAACCCGAGAAGCTTGCTCTCATGTGTTGTCATAGCATTTGTTTGGTAAGAAAAAAAAGTTATTGTTTATTACAAAAATCATCAATGAATTGTTTCAGTGCTGTGGTATAAATACTCCGAAAACAAAATATGCGCAGAAAAAATTACAAGAACTCCGAACTTGGAAAGAAGTAGAAAGTACAAAAACACGCACATGTACATACGTAGTGAAATAGTTGGTACTAAAGGAAATATTACGATGACAGTTAAAACCAATTCGATTATTATTTGTTATATATATAAATAGTTAGAAGTTACACTGTGGTCTAAGTGAAACAACTATATAGTAATTTTTGCCCCACTCTGTATATTGTTGGGTTTTCTCATTTTGCCCATCCCTGTATATTGTTGTGTTTTCTCATTTTGTCCCACTCTGTATATTGTTGTGTTTAATATCAGCTACCTTGAATATATATCTACGTAGAAGTATTGTTAGTGTTTTCGAACAAAACAGAACACATTACACTTGGAAAAAAAAAAGCAGGAAAACTAGTTATATAAAGAGAGAAACAAAGCATCATATCCTGAATTTAATCCAAATACACAACCACTTTTTCACCGAAGTTCAATGATTGATTCATCTTTAAAGAGCTGGTGAACTATTTCACACCTTTAAATTAAAGATCAAGTCAAATTTCATGCTCCAACGTTATAGCTTTCTAGAAAGGTCGTACCGAACTTTATAACATCCAGAAATTTATTCTTCAATCTGATTGTCAAGATTGATGGACTCATTACCAGTTCAGGAGAAGCTACCAAGATCAGTACAAACTAGTAGCCACAATACTAGAGGTATCTGTTGAATATAATAAATAGGCTAAAACTGTCAGAGCTTACGCATGACTTGGGAAAGAGAGAGCAAAGAAGGCTGACCTTACATGGGCCCCCCATCCTCCTGGAGGCCCTACGCTAAGGCGTAATTTGCACATATTTGTTAATCCGGCCTGACTAGAAATGTCTCACAAAAATTGCAGTTTGAGCCCCACGGACCTGAGGGTGTCTGCTCATGTCACCTCCCTCCAAATGAGGTCCCTGATATCATTAAATGTTAACACAAAACGTAGAGGGCTTGAAAGTGGACACTTTACCGTTCCGTTTATCAGTCAAAGCATAAAGTAAACGTTTTAAACTTGATATTCAAGATGAAAACATGACTTAAAAAGAGGAATGAGAGGATGGTGAAGTATTTTGAATCCAAACAAGATGAGTAAACTTAATTTCTTTCATCAGTATTAAATAACTAAATTGTATGAAAAATTAAATGCAAGATGTGATTTTTCTCTCACACCAATTTTGAACATGGATGTATGACATCCTTTTCTTTCAGATTTCAGAATTAGAAAAGTGATATAATCTTTCTATGGCTCATTACTTTTAAACATTGGGTGGTTATGATCCTCCTCCTCTGGCCCATTATCATATATAAGGAGGATGAAAATTAGAAAATAGTTTCGCCAATTTCCCGTCAATACTAGATATGAGGTGAACTACTTTTTAATACGAATATGATATAATCTTTATTTAACACGATTTTAAGAAATAATAGGTTACAAATAAAAGTTTGGCTGGTTAAACAACTATTAACCGTGCGGTTTTATATTGCGGAAATATTTTTTCGAAAACAATGTAGTGAAATGGTATTTCCTGTTTTCTTAGTTTCTTTATTAAACATTCATTTTATATGTTAAGTTGCAACGACCGGATGGATACTGACGGAGTCATTGTTTAGGATATTTTCTTACTTTATTCTCTATTCACCGTTGGATCATATGCCGGGGACGGACACTTTATTACTGAAACCCAACATGACTTAAAAGAATTATTTACATTCTATGCGTGATGACGTGTATCGTTCGTTTTGATCTTTTTAAACACTTCAGGGGATTACCGCACTAAAATATAAACGTGAGTTATCCCGGGATGTTATTGCAATAGGATGTAATAACATCTATATTGTGTTTGAGTGATACACAGTGTCTCATTCCAACACATTTTTTGGTCTCAGTGTATCAATATGTACAAGTTTTCAAAGTTCCCAAGGGCGTCACTCCCTTGGACTTCCAGTCCCTGAAGCCAGATATGATACTTTAACAACTCAGATAAAAAGAAGCAAAGTAAGATGACTTACCCTGAAGGTGTGAAGTTCCTTCAGCTATACCCTCTATATGATAAAGTGCCGTAACCTTAATAAACACATTTGCTAAAAATAGCTCCTGGAATGCGTGATGAATGGTTATTATCTGAGAGTTGTACATTTACATTTACACATGTTTGCATAACAGAAACAATTCATCACAAACTCTTGCACTAGTTTTGGTGGTGATTTTATTCCTTTACGCCCTAAATATGTTTTACAATATCATATCAGCAGCAGTTAATTACAAACTCTTGCACTAGTTTTGGTGGTGATTTTATTCCTTTACGTCCTAAATATGTTTTACAATATCATATCAGCAGCAGTTAATTACAAACTCTTGCACTAGTTTTGGTGGTGATTTTATTCCTTTACGTCCTAAATATGTTTTAAAATATCATATCATCAGCAGTTAATTACAAACTCTTGCACTAGTTTTGGTGGTGATTTTATTCCTTTACATCCTAACGTGTTCTAAAATATCACATCAAAAGCAATTCGTCTCAAACACATGCGTTAAACGTGGTCGTGATTTTATTAATTTACGTCTTAAAGGTGTTTTAAAATACCATATCAGAAGACTGTAGGAATTTTCTACGATAATTCAGAGATACAATATTCAAGGTGAAAAATATGTTATTCATTTTCAAAGGAATTCAACAGGTTTGGTTTCGAATAGTGCATATTAAGAGTAATTTGAACTTCAGAATTGTTAATATAGTCAATAATTTCTTCATCAGAAAAGTACCAGTTAATCAAATTTCATATATATATATATGTGACTTACTATGACTTTTAGGATAATAATTCAATATTTCTGTGTTTCTTGCGCTGTTTTAGGTTTAAGTCACTTGTGCATATTTTTAAAGACCTCTGCTCA